GGCCACTGAAGGGCAACCGGCAGGAGTCACTCCTGCGCTCCCAGCGTTTTTCACATTGTGGGACTCTCTTCTCTCTCTCTCTCTCTCTCTCTCTCTCTCTCGATTGTGTTTATCTGACCCTGGCGGCTTCTTTCTTTTCCCCCTTCCTTCCTTTTCCGTTTTTTTTTTTTTTGTACAAATAGTTGCTGAGTATTTGTTACTTATGTACAGGGCATTCATTCTTCCCTAAAAATTCTGGGAAGGAAATGCCAAGGAAGAATGTCCAAACCTGTGGAGAATTTTTTATGAGTTTATTTGAGCCAAACTGATGGCATATATGGCAGGAAGATCGCCAATGCTCCGAAGAACGGCGGTTTGAAACTTCTTTTATGCATTTGGAATGCGGGATCCCATGAGGGTGGGAGACAGGAGTGTGGGGACTGGATTACAGGCCTCAACCCATGGCGCTGGAACCAATTGGAGGGGAACAGGAACCCCGGTTGGGGGTGCGGTAGAGAAGGAAACTATTCCGTGCAAACCAGGCCCACTGCGATGCAGCGCTGGGGCCGGGTCCCTCCGGGGTCCCGCTCGCTGCCGGGCTGCTCCGTCCTCGGCTGGGCTGCTCCCCGCCNGGTGCGGTAGAGAAGGAAACTATTCCGTGCAAACCAGGCCCACTGCGATGCAGCGCTGGGGCCGGTCCCTCCGGGGTCCCGCTGGCTGCCGGGCTGCTCCGTCCCCGGCTGGGCTGCTCCCCGCGNCGCTCGCTGCCGGGCTGCTCCGTCCTCGGCTGGGCTGCTCCCCGCCGCTCGGCCGGCGACACATCTCAGGCTTTCAGCTCTAGCGGGGAAACTGGTCTCCAGAAGTCTTCAGTCTTCAGTGAAAAGTACTCCCAAAGCCAATGGACAGGAGTCCCCAGCCCTGGTCCCTGATTGGTCCATTATCATGCAAATGAGGACTCCAAATCCTCAAAGTTTGATTGGTCCAAAAGGCACTGTCCTGATTGGTCAGAATAATGCTACTCTGATTGGCCAGAGCTGTACAGCTCTGATTGGATGGGTGAAGCCTCAGTCCTATTGGTTGAAATAGGATTCCAGGAACCCCTTTATAAGGGCTGGCGCAGCGGGCAGAACTGAGCAGGTAGGCAGTTTGGCGCAGAGGCAGGTGGTCCATCGCCGGCTTCTGTGTAATGTGCAGTTTGTGTGAGGTGCCTGGGCAAAAATGGCTGCTAGTTTCTGTTTTTAAAAATTTGAGCCCAGTCAGTCACTAGTTGCCCTTCTTAGTAGGTGTTTTTTTTTCCTCAGGGTTTACACAGTATAGTTAACAAGTATGTGCTCCTTTGAGGGTTGTTATGCCTCTGAGGGGTGTGGGGAAAAAAGGGATTCTCTGGCATTTCAAAGATGTGTTAACCAACATGCCTACGAACAATGGACAGGGCTTCCTTAAGGCATGGATGGACCTTTTACCAAAAGAGCTAATATGCCTGGAGAGTGACTACCCGCCATAACCTACCCTGTTAGGAATTTATGATCAGATCACTCTGTGAGGTTACTTTCTATCCTGAATTTGTCAGTTTTGCTACAGAACTCTTTTTTCATTAATAGAAATTTTATTTTTCTGGGAAAGTCAAACAAGATAAGAAAATCAAGTGGAATTTAATAAGCAAACAAGTAGACAGACGTGTGTGCCAGGCGTCAGGGGTGCACAGAGTAGAAGGCTCTAATCTATTATGGCAGAGAAGGTACCACTTGAACCTAGCCTGGGAAAATCACAAGGAAGTCACCTGGGAAGCAGAGTATGAAGCAAAGGTACAGAGGAAGGAGGGCCTCCGGTCTCAGGAGCAGCTGGTTACTTGGTGAACCTGCATCAGAAGGTGTGGATGCAGGAGTGAAGGGCTGTGAGGTTAGAGAAGTTAGCAAGGCCTTGTGTGTCCAGTTAAATAAGGAGTTTAGGTTTTATTCCAAACATGTTGGAGGTCCCTGAAGGATTTTGCATGGAAGAATGACATTAGTTTTTTTTTAAGTCATCAAAACTGAAGAGTTACAATCTGAGGCTCTGGAATCAGATTGAGGCTAAGGTGTTACTCATGGTTGAGCCAGTTGGTGGCTGTGTGACCTTGGACAAGTTACTGAACTTCTCTAAGCCCTAAGATTAAAAAACACACAAAGTTACCTTTTTAAATAGGTAATGTTGCTTTTTTCTGAGAATTAAATGATGTATCCTTTGTAACATTCTAGCACAGTGCCTGGCAAATAGAAAGCCCTCCAAAACTGATAGCTACTCTTACTAGTACATGTATGGCCTCTGGCACTGTTATAATTATAAAAATGAGTCAGAGATATTCGGATAAGCTGGAGGAAGGGAGACTAGTTAGGAAGCCTCTGGGATAATCTAGGGAAGAATATTCTTCTATTTTTTTGCCCAGTACCCAGCTGTCATCTAGAAGGAATAAAAAAAAAATTGTGGAATAAATGAAAAGAAAGACTGAGCAAAATTTGATGGTTGATTAGCTCAGAGAAATGAAGGAAAGAATAAAGGATGACTACAAGACTTCAAGGTTGGGTGACTGCAGAATTCTGGTACTATCGACACAGGAAACCCTTTCTCTTCCCATCCCTGGGCTTAGCTTTCTCAGGCCATTGCTCGCTTGACATCTTTGGATGGTCGCCACCTTTTCAGATTTATTCACCAGTTCAGTGACTGTGCTGTTCAGGTCTGCCACTTTTTCTTTTTCCATACTGCCTTGTCATATCTATACTGGACGCATATTTGAATTTAGAACCTTCACATTTTTGAAGTCTCAAACGCCACTTGCAAATGGGTTTTGAGCACGTCTCTTTAATGGCTCCCAAATATTATTTCAGATCATGTAGGTATCTCTGGAAAAACTTTAGCATCTATGCCTCTGTTCAGGGGCATTAATAGAGTCCTATACTTTTACAATTAATATGATGTTTGGAACAAAATATTTTTCTGCCTACTCAATATTATATGATTGCTATTTTCTGTTTTATAAATGGAATTGTATGTCAGGTCCCATATGGCAAACAAACCAACAAACCAATCAACCAAACTAGCTCGGTTTTTGCTTTGTGATTCCTGCCAAATTGGTGCTTCTCTGACTCTCAGGACGGCGGGAGAAACCCGGGAATGTGAGACCTTGTTCTAACCAATTGACCTGTCCACCATAAACGACTGATTTTAGCCCAAGGTAATGGCAGGTGGGGCTGAGGCCATGGTTCTCTGGTTTTCTTTCTTTTTTCTTTTCTTCTCTTCAGTTTTTCTGATGACTAAAAATACCTTGCTGTTTGACAAAGAACAGGAATTTTGAGATTGTACTGGGAGCCAGCTTTACCAGGTTCAAGGCAAGGTTAGAGAGATTGTTTTTAAGAGAAAAACTTTTAAATAAATGTCTTATACAAAAACAAGTGACACGTCTTAAATGAGTTTGCAGGGTTCTCTACCAGTGAAAATGGCAGTGTGCTGATCCATCCAAGCTCGTTGCCTGGTATCCTTGGGATCCTATACACACGTGTGTGAGCCAGCTGCCCTGAACTAGGGAAGTGGAGCGAAACCCACGGCCTGGCCCTTGCCTGTTTGGCTTAGTGGTTAGAGCGTCAGCCTGCGGACCAGAGGGTCCCAGGTTCGATTCTGGCCAAGGGCACGAATCCTTGGTTGCAGGCTCATTCCCCTGCTCCAGTCAGGGCGAGTGCTGGTGGTAACCGATCAATGAGTCTCTCTTACATCGATGTTTCTTTCTCTCTCCCTCTCTCTCTCTTCGACTCTCTCTGAAAAGCAATGAAAAAATATCCTCGGGTGAGGATTTAACCCCCCCCCGTTGGGATTGTGTCCTGGCTTTAGCTTCATTAGGCCCCGAGCTCCTGCTAAGGAAGTTAGTGGGAACCGGTGCAGACCTGGAGGTCAGAGCCTAACAGAAAGAGCCTCCACAGCAGCGCACGCACAGCACTGCTACGCGCTCTCTCCACTGGTCACCTAGTTTCCGTGCGTGCGTGCTTCAGAAATAGTGCATTAAAGATGGGAAATTAAATGTCTCTGTGGGAGAAAGCAGTGTTTCAGGTTCTCAGCGTTTTAGTCAGCTGCTTTCACACTTTTCCAGACTGTAAATAGACTTCGAAGCTATTAAAATATGTTCAGAGTGATGACAAAGGGTAGGGACTCGACGGTTCTTTCCCAACTGCCCTTTGTCCAGTGACAAATACCTAAACACATTAATTTGCCTTTTTATTTCTCCTGGCGGTGGCAAGACAATCCTACTCATCTTTGCGGGT